GAAATAAGGCTTAAATTCACTCTCTGTGTGCCTGATGCCACAGACAATGAATTACAGATATTTTTGGTGCGGTACCTAAGATTTTAAGTTATTGCATCTGTCTATTGTCTAGTGAGAGAGAATATGCTATTGTGTAAGTATTCTGTAAATGCTTACAGATATTTAACTTTACACCAGAGAGTTATCTATTCATTTTCATGGAAAAGTTCAGCTCTGTAAAGTTCAGTTTGTGCCTAAGTATTTTCAGGACTGCATCCCTAGTGCTTTTGATTTGGATACATATATTTCTATAATGGAAAGAAAAATGTAATGAGTCAAAATAAACCAGTATGAATTCACTCAACTTAAGTTTAAAAAAATGACATGTTCAATTAAACAAGCAGAACAAAGACAGTGTATATCAATTGCAGGTACAAATAGGAAGGAAAAATTGTATGAATGAATTATATCTGCTACAGTAGAATGGCTTATATGAGTATGTGTTGCAGGTTTGGACAATAGGCCTGAAATTGGGTAACCAAGAGTTTATTTGTTTGCAGTCAGTTTCAGGTTTCCATTCTCAAATGTGAGTTTGAAGAAACAAATAAATAAAAAATAAATAAAAAAATGCTTCTAAAATTATGTCTCTGGTAGACTAAGAACTTGTAGTCACATCAGTATAAAGTATGTGAGGAAAATGTAGATGCTGGCTGGCCATTTATTACTTTATGTATAGCTTTTATGTATTATTAAATGCTACTAAAATTAATCTGCAAAAAAAACCCCCAAACTCTGACTTTGGCTTGGATAGAGAAAAATTTTTCACATTCCTGTCGTAGTAGTTGCCTCCTCAGTTCACAAAAGGACAGGCAGCTTCTCACAGCCAATATGCCAAGTTGTTATAAAAACACTGTATAAAACATACTGGTAAGTGTTGTGATATTCCCCTCTGTAGAACAATTGCTCTTAAATACTCTTCCCCCTTGGCCCCTGACTGAATCTCATTAGAATGAGTGGGAACTAAACTTATGATTGTGCTGGCCCATACACTAATTTAGTTAAATGTGCCATTTTCTGTTTTTTGGAATGGATTGATATTGCAATATTTTATTTTTTCCTTTCATCTTTTTTAATAGCCTGACCTGAGTCCCTCAGAGCAGGAGGATAAGACTCCAGGGAGGCTTCAGACTGTATGGCCACCACCTAAAGTAAACGATCAAGAAGAAAAAGTGGGATTAAAATACACTGAAGCAGGTAAAACAAAAAGGTGAAAGATTTGCAGAAATGAATCGTAACATTTCTAACATTCTGTGATTAAAAAATATATACACCAATTATTTTCTCCTAGAAAACATTCTATTTCTGGGTATATGGGACTGGTTACCTTCACTTTGATAGGGAGATGTAATTCCTAGCAGGTAATTGATATATGGGTGCATGTTGAAGTCAGTGTTGCATTCTACTTTCATGAGGAAAAAACAATGCCTTTTGATAGTGTGGGCCAAACAGTTTTCTGGTACAATTCTGTGGAAGGGATGAACATGGTCCAGAAATTAGAAATTATTTTTGTTTTTGTTTGGTTAGATTATGATCATGGGTATTGGTACTGTCAGGTTCTGGTTTAGTTTGCTTATTCTCTTTAGTTAAAATCACACCTGTGGTAAAACCAGAGTAGAAGTAGGAGTGTTAATATATGTAGTTTTGAAACATTATTTAGAACACAGAAATAGCCATATGCAACCACATCATTATGTAGTCTAGTATTTTGTCCCTAATAGATGCCTATGCCAGATGCTTGAGAAGGTAGTATAACAAATACAATACTGGACTTGTGGAATAACCTGCTCACAAAAGATGCTTTTATAACTTTTCCCAGTCTCTGGTTGGCTTGTATACTTAAACAAGAGCATTTATGTCCCTTATAAAAAGTGCTTATTGTAGCTCATGAAACTCAGGTTGTTCTTCTACTTTGTGTGACTTTTCTAAAAACCCTGAAGAAAAGCAGTGGCTCTTTTGTTCTTATCTAGCAGCTTTTGAAAATATCACTCAGAAATAGTTGAGTAGGGTTCAAAAAAGAATAAAACCCTTGCATGTAATGCTGTAAGTGCCAGTAAGTTACTTGTGTGTGGCCCATATTCGTTTTAAAGGTGTTATCTTTCAGTTTCAGGGAATGCCTGCCTGTGGTTACATTACCAGACAGGGTAAATAAGAATAGGATTTACTTCTATATTACGTCCTTTCTTACTTGCTTACTTTCTAAACTGTACAGTCCTAATCTTTTAAATCTCACCTTGTATGAAAGTCTTTCCTTATCTCTAATAATTTTTTCAACCTCACCAACCTCCCTCCCTGTTTTTGCATGATTAATTACTACTATTTTTACCTGCCACACTAAATGATTATGAACAGTTTCAAAATAGTACTGTTAAAATATAAAGTACATGACTTCACTGTTTTATTTTTACTGTAGCCGGGGAGGGAGCATAGGCTAGGCAATGGAGACCTAGCACTCCAAGTTTGGCTTCTGGCTCCACATTTGATTGACTCGTGAATTCAAACAGGCATTACAACCTTTTTCTACCTGAATCTATGAAATGGACATAACATTAGAAGTGCTGAACCCCACAAAATGTTCAGAAAGTTAACTAGTTCTTTAATTTTTTCTCAGACACTGACAAAAGCACATCTTATTTCAGAATACCAGGATGTACTAAATGTACTTGCTTAGATTGCATCTAAGATCCCTGCACAAACAATACATGTGCCAAATAATGCATTTCCAATTTTAACATGATTTTTCTTCTGTAAC